CAAATTTGTTTCCTTTTACGTGAGCTTCATCTTCCAAGGCTAAAGCTAACCTGGACAGAAGTTCGAAGCAATTTTAAATTTTGTTTCTGATTTTCACTGAAATGTTCCCGACCTAGGAAGTAAATAAGAGAAGTTTTAAAATGGAAAATGTAATGAGATAAAATAGAAAATGGAAAAAAATTTGGTTTCTTTACAAATGAGCATGATTGAAAAGAGTATTACTTACTTATATTCAAAGTCTATAGAAAGGAAAAAAATAACAGGTAAGTCTCCTTGCTCCCTACCTACCTCTTACTTCTCAAATGGAAGCCACTGTTAATGATTGCTTAAGTAACTCTCAAGAAAAGAAAGGATGCATTTAACATCATATATAGGTATATTTGTTTTCATTCATACAAATGGGATTATGCTATAAATACTGGTCTGTTCCTTGAGCATTTTCATTTAGTAATACATATCTTGGAGATGCTTCCACATCAACACATATAGATTCCCCTCATTATTTTTCATGGTTGTACAGTATACCACTGTATGGATGTACCATTATATAATTAGTCCTCTGGTTAAGTAAGATTATAAACAAAGCTGCAGTATTTTATATAATAGCTCACTGTACTTTTTTTGTAAGACCATTTGTAGGGTCAATTCCTGACAGTGGAATCACTTACTATGTGCATTTTTTTTAAAGATTTTATTTATTTCTTCGTCAGAGAGAGAGGGAGAGTGAGCACAAGCAGGGGGAGCTGCAGGCAGAGGGACAGCCCGACTCCCCGCTGAGCAGGGAGCCCAGTGCGGGACTCGATCCCAGGACCCTGCGATCATGACCTGAGCCGAAGGCAGACGCTTAACTGACTGAGCCACCCAGGCGTCCCTTACTATGTGCATTTAAAGCTTCTAGGAATTAACAAATGGCCCTCCAAGACACTTGCGACAATTTGTATTATACAGTGTGTGAGAATATCTGTTTCTGTACCCCCTTTGTCAGTAATGGGTATCATCAAACTTAAATTGTCGATCATCTGACAGGCAAAAAAAATTTGTCTAGATGCTTTTGTTCCTTTGTAATTATTTAATTATTAGTCAGAGCCAAGCCTCACTTTGTGTTTTTTTTTTTTTTAGTAACTGGTATGTCTCTTTGTGAATTGCTAATTCATATCCTTTCTTCCTTCTTAAACTAGACTATCTCTTTCAGTTGGATTATAAGAGAATATGACTCTATTCCAGGAACCAATATTGTACTGTATGTTAACTATCTGAAATTTAAATTAAAAAAAGAGAGAAAACATGACTCATTTTTACCCTTTGATGCAAAAGTGTTGAAGCCACCCAGTTACTGACTCAGTGGCTACAGACAGGGCAGAGTCACTATCTTCTCCCTTTCCTGTTCATCGTCCGGAGACTCTGTCACAGACGTAGCTGACTTCGGGTTGTTCAGAAGTTCCCCTAGCATATTAATTTCAATTTCAACTTTAAAATTTCCCATTTAAGTCATTTGATCCATGTTTTTAGTTGAAAACATAAACAGTGGATGTAAAACGGTACCGGCTTTATTATACTCTGCAAGAGAAAATTTCAGGATGGTACAATTTTTCTGTAAGAGCATTTTGGCAATGCATCTCCAAAGACTTAGACACCTACCTTCCTTTCCCCAAAAATTCCACTCTGTGACTAACAGCAAAAAATGGTGAATACACTAGGATATGTCCATCTAGTAGAATACTATGCAGCTATTTAAGATGATGTAGAAAATACATAATGGTGTGGAAAAGATTCACAGTATATTTCTAAGGGGAAAAAACGTCTGGTTTGTATTAATGGCGAGCTAGGTTATTTGGATGATGAACTTTCCCACTGCAGACAACTACGAGAAATGAGGAATATTAAAAGCAAACAAACAAGAGTTTTTTATATGATATGAAATTGCTAACCAGATAATAAGGAATTATATGAACCCCAAAGCAAGACATAGCAAGAAGCCAGAGAGGTATGTGGCCAAGTTTTGCCCAGAGGATGTTTGCCGGTCCAGACTAAACTCAGCAGAAGAACAGAGCTGCATTTGAGGGAACTTCAGAGTCTTACAAGGATCCAGAGGTCAAAGCCAGGGCCATCACCATCAATGATGGTGATCTAATGAGAGTCCTACCCAAAGGAATTAGAGACCCTAAAAGAGCACTTCCTGAAAGTAAGCCCTCCCATATCACCCGAGGCTAAGGGTCTGTAGATAGAGTTGCCTTGGTGATAAGCAGAATTGGAAAGGGGGGGAGAAATCCACTATTGAGAGTGTAACCACAGGCTGTTCCCTTTCATGGATTCCAATCCAAATTCCCATCAATGGAGTGATCCAAGCAAAACCAAAAAAAAACCCAACCAACCAAACAAAACAACTCTAAAGGAGTGGCTGAGGCAGAGGAGAATTCAAGAAACTGAAAAAGCCAGATTGTTGGAGGATCACGTACGGGGGCGCTGAAATCATGATAGGCGAGGCAGAGACAGTGGGGGCACAAAGGAGCTCAAGTAATCCAGAAACGATGGGGAGGAGCCCAGGGGCTAGTGCAGGATGGCGACCAAGCCAAGAGCAGGTCATAACACTATAGACGGGGAGAGACACGGCCCCACATCTGTACACATGTTCTACAATAAAAAGGTATTATTCCTCAAAAATAAATACAAAAAGAATTATTGTAAAAACTGTAGGGCCATTTCAAATAGTCTTTGGAAAGAACCAAACATAGATGAATATACGCGCACACACACACACACACACACACACATCTGATAGGAGTCTTTGATATAGATTCTCCCGTGAGTTACATGCTTCAGAATAAAGGTGTTGAAAATAGCAAAAACTTTCTTACAAATAAAAAGCAGCACTAATGGGGTATAAAGTGAATATTCTATTAAAAATTGTGAAGCTGAAGAATGTTATTCTGTGTTAATAAATAACAACAATGTATACTCTATCTACCTCAGATTCAAATTATTATTTTACCGAGCTCTGCTTTTTAAAAACCAGAATTGTGAGTTTTATTGGTGAGTAAACAATGTTACATCTGAATATCTCTCTTCCTGAGAACATTATCGTATACCCTTTGAAACAGAAAATTAGGAAAACATTTAATTCTTTCTACTTTCTACTTGGCCTACCCTCAACAACCCCTAAAAGCAGGAAGAGAGGACGTAGAAGGGCAGTAAACGGTGGTGCAGAATGAGGAAGAATGATTTTGCACTGGAGGTGGCCAGAATGATTTCACATGTAGCACCCGATACTAAGCCATAAAAGTCTCGGCATAATTTAGTGTTTGTATTCATCCACTGAAGCAAACAGGGTAAGATTTACCCAATGAACATTTATCACTCTGTCCTGTTTCAAAGCTATAATTTGCAGAGCAGTGGGAAGGGTTTACGTGTTGACCATGACGTGCTCATCCTGCTGAAAATTTCTTGTCCATCTTCATAACCACGCCCTTGCATTTCATTCAACCTCCAGTTACAATGCATTTCTTCTCAGGTTATCACAACAATATTCTGATAAAGTTGTAGAGGTTGATACTGTTACTGGCATCTTTATAAATGGGAGGCCCAGGGGTACCTGAGTGGCTGTCAGTTATGCGTCTGCCTTAGGCTCAGGTCATGATCCTGGGGTCCTGGGATGGAGCCCCGAGTCAAGCACCCCTCTCTCTCTGATCCTCCCCCCTGCTTGTGTGCTCTCTCTCTCTCTCTCATGAATTAAAAAAAAAAAAGAAATCTTTGGGTGCCTGGTCACTCAGTTGGTTAAGTGTCTGCCTTCGGTTCAGGTCATGATCCCAAAGACCCAGGATCAAGGCCCGCATCAGGCTCCCTGCTCAGTGGGAAGCCTGCTTCTCCCTCTGACCCTCCCCCACCCATGCTCTCTCCCTCTCTCTCAAATAAATAAATAAATAAAATCTTTAATAAATGGGAGGCCTAAAGTCCCAAGGCCCAAAGGCCAAGTCCCAAGTCTACCTCTGCCAGCCTGGAGCAGGCCTTCCAGAAGGTCATGCCCCTCCCTTGGAACACCTACTCTGGATCCACACATCCAAACTCTGCCCCTCGTCCATAGCCAGAGACACACTGGAAAAAGTACCAAATTTGGGCTCAGAAACCCTCAGTTAAAAGTGCTGCTTCACCTACCTATCAGCTCCATGCCTCTGAACAAGCGACAGTATCTACTCACCTTGGTTTTCACATATAAAATGAGGATAACATCTGTTAGGCCTATTTCAGAATGCTGGGGAAGAACAACTAAGAGAATACACGTGGAAACTCGCAGTAAGCCATAAGGTCCGGCTTGGGTCCTACTTAATCCAGGGAGCCTTCCAGCTTTTCAACCCAGCCCACACTGAACTCCCCCTGGCATTTCCTGCCATGCTATTTATCTTAGCCCTTGATATATTTGCTCTTGTATTGTTACTCAAATACTCCCCAGTCAGGAACATCTTCCTTGCACAGAACCTAGACTGGGACTGTAAGCACAGCACTGCTCTCTCTATTACCAATGTTGTGAATGAACCGGCAGAGCAGAGAGTAGAATCTGGCCTTCCTGGTACCATCGTGTTCACTTCTACAAGACGTTTTTTAAAAGCTTTCCTTATGGTATCCAGTTATATTCACACTCTAATTAAAGGGCACTATTGACTGGAAAAATGTTCGCTTTAAAAGAAGAGGGTACACTGTATAAACTGCTTGAGGGGACCGAAGTATGGCCCAATCACAGATAAGATTCCAGAAGCTCCCCAAGTCTGGGGAATCCTGCCAAGAGTGCCTGGAGAGGTACTCTCCTTAGGTTAAGGAGGTCTCACAAGGGAAAATCCTGCTGGACCTACTTGCAAATCAGGCAGACTTTGTTTGATTGCTACAGGCAATAAGGCGTCGAAAGGTTTTCAATTTCTCCTGGGGAAGATGCACTCAAAGTACACAGGGTATTTTCCTCAGGGGCTCTTGGAAGCATTCCCACAAAAACCCAGCTGCTAGTAGCACTTTACCTGATCTTTGAAAACCAGCGTGCTGGGGCTTGACCGCGGTTTGTCTCTAAATGAGTAAGTGGCCATTTGCTTCTTAAGTAAGTCTAAGAAGTCAGGAGGCGCATATAGGGGAAGGTCATTTAGTACCGGATCGTTTCTTTGCACAAGAGGTGGTTTTTTCCTTCCTTCGTTTTTAAAATTGTAGGTTGGTATCACTGGATTTAATAAGGATTCTTCAATGAAAGTTTTCAAGTGGTAAGTGCCAGGGATAGGAGTGTTCTGTGGAAAATTGACATCATTTTTCAGATCAGTGTGCAAACTGGTAACATCTCCTAAAGCATCATTCTTAGAAGGTCACTCTTAAGGAGGATTTCCTTCTGTTTTAAGGTTTAATAAAATTTTATCGGGGTGCCTGGGTGGCTCAGTTGTTGAGCGTCTGCCTTCGGCTCAGGTCATGATTCCAGGTCCTGGGATCGAGCCCCGCATCGGGCTCCCTGCTCGGCGGGGAGCCTGCTTCTCCCTCTCCCACTCCCCCTGCGTGTGTTCCCTCTCTCGCTGTGTCTCTCTCTGTCAAATAAATAAATAAAATCTTTAAAAAAATAAAAATAAAATAAAATTTTATCAAATATAGTAAACACTCCTGACAGAACAATATTTCAAGAGAATCATGATTATTTCCTTTCTGAGACAACTATGGCAAATGGGTTGCGGCCATGGTTGGAAGTTTTGACTTTTTAAAAGGTAACTTCAGAGATACTAAAACTTGAGATGCAGTTGGACCTATAAATGTCAGGTCTCTCTTGAGACCACTCAGGACAGTTTCTTGACTAAAAAAAAAGTTAGCCTACTTCTGCTGGGTAGATACTACACTACATTTCTCTCTAGCCCTCAAATAAGCAACTAAAAAATAAGAACATGAGGCTGAGGATGAACTGGCAGAGCATGTGGTCTCCAGCCCAATAGGAGGTTTGGTTCTTTCAAATCACAACCACAGTGTGGCTGAATGGCCAGACCTGAAAGTTTAGTCACTGCTGCTTTTGTGGCCGAATTTCCAGTGAGCACCCGGCTTGGTTCCACCATTAAAATTCCATTTCAAGAAGGCTTTGGCCCATGGGCCCCTCTATTATTGAAGGGTGTGGACAGAAAATATTTCTACAGTATAGAAATGATGTCTCTTGAATGGGGATCTTCTGGTCATTTTTTCTTCATTACCACCTTGCTTTCCTACATTGACCATGTTAACAGAACTTATCACAAGCTCTATGCCGTCTAGGATACAAACTGAAACCCAAACTCCTTTTATAGAATGGAGGCATTTTCTTCTGTAATCTCACCGAGGTCATAAGCTATATTGACCTTATCTAGATATCCTGTAAAGCATCTAGATTCGTAGAGTTGTTTTAGTTTGTACTGCATCTAAAATTTAATGATACTAAAATTATAAACAGGAAATGAGGTCCACTGTTTTCTTACAATTGTTAGTGACTTAAAAGGTAAGGGTGATTAAAATATCAATGGAAACATGAATCTCTTGAATAGGAAGAGTAAAAACATACATACTGTTAATGCTACTCTCCACCATCCTTCTCTTTCAACAGATGATGTCTTTCGGGTTGGTTTCTATTAACAAACATAAAATGTGCTTATTCATTTGAGAGGTGATCCCTGGAAGTTAAATATATTTTATAAAACATTTGCTTGAAGAAATCAATACCTGTATCAAATCGGTCAGCCTGAATTAAAATAAAAGCTACATAATGATAAATTTTGCCTGACTTATTTCCTTAAATTGCTATTTTATGACTTGAAGTGCTTCTAAATTCCCATCTAAATTCCCTTTGGAAAAATGAGAGTAATAAACATCCTCGTTTCACAAGAGATGTCATAAGGAAAATTAGATGTCACAAAATTTGGTGTTCCTAGGAAGGACAGAGTGTATTATAATAATTGTATTATAATACAATCCAAAATTGTATTATAATAGATTTATGGTTTAGGTGCTGTGCTGGGAATTCAAGGTAGAAGTCATCAAATTAATGTGATATTGGGATGCAAATCCCAGTGATATGGCAAATGTTGAAAACTGCCCTTTCCTGTTTTTGTCCATACTATTATGTATCATACAAATATGATACAGCTAGTTCTCTCAGCTTGTCCAGCCAGCTGTTACACTAAAGAGGCAGAACAACAGAGGAGCCAGGCGGACTGGGGCTTGAACCCCAGCTCTGACACTTACTAACTAGGAGCACTACATAAGTTACTTAATCCTTATGAGCCTGAACTCCCTCCTAGGAGTATAAAAATAAGGCATAACAAGGCTGGCATGAGAATAAGCCATTATACATTTAAAGACTTGTACCCACAACCAGGGCCCAATAAACGGTAGCTTATTTTTAACACCTCACCTGCCAAGTTAAAAAGCAGATGATTTTGGTATTCCTTAGTTTCCACGGACGCTCTTGGTTTCCACAGTGAGTACCCTATACCCATTTATTATTATCCCACATTTGTTTCAGCCTCACCACCAACAGAACACGGTTGTTTAGTTTTTTCCTTTTGTGCTACTTTGACTAGGTGAAGTCATTAAAACATTGAATTGTACTTCCATTTTTAATGCTTTTGTTACTACTACAAAATATAGGTTATTTCAAGCAACAGTGCATTAGAAATAAACTAATCAGTAAAACTGATACAATTCATTCTTCCTCTTAGCAACTTCTATCCACTCTACTTATGAGTAGAGCTTTAGTTTTACTATGAAATGTGCATTTCTCCAAAAAAAAAAAAACACAGTTTCATACACATTGCTAAGTCTGAATTTCTTCCCGTACGTTCCCTTTATTAGATTTATGTTGAATCTTCTCTGTTGCACATTTATAGTCACAGAAATCAAACTTTCTCAGGCAGGTCAAGGCAAGTCTCCCACCTCTACCTAGGACCAGGAAAATCCAAGTGGGAAGAAGGGAGAAGTAAACACTGTACTTCTAAAGGAAGGCGATTGGCAGCCGCTTAAGGTGGCGATCTAAACTCCACCCACCTATCACTTCAAATTCATTTTAGGGGTGAATCACTTTACGAAAGATAGACTAAACATCCTTCGCCCAAATATATTTAAAAACTAAACGAAGGTAGTTTAAGATATTTTATAAATACTAAAATAAGAGGCAGGGGCAAAAACATGTGCCTTCGACTAAGGAAAAACCTATCCTCTCGGCAAAGGGGGAAATCAAAGCAGTTGCCCTGCGCAGATGGTAGTACGGAAGAAGGAAAGAAAATACAGAAAATAAAGGACGAATGGAAGGATGAGGGAGAGCAAAGGAAGAGGAAATAAAACCAAGTAGACTCAGATAAAGATCAGGACGACTGGACTGCAGGGTGGGTAGGAGGGCAGGGAGAGGTGCGAAGAGCAAACCAAGGGGTACGAAGTCCCAGTGTTAGAGAGAAGTGGGAGTTCGGCCAGGGAAGCCCGGGGCGCGGGATAGCAGTGGGTAGTGGGAGCCAGGGGAGGGTGTTTGTACCGAGGAGGTGACTACCAAACTGCCAGGTCCCAGGTCTTCCCTTAGGGAATTGGAGGTGATGGCGATGACTGGCTGGTCCATTGCGGCCTCCTCGCTCCCTCAGCCTGGGATGGCGTCTGGTTGCCAGGAGGCGCCTGGGGCCCGCGGGCTGCCGAGCGTGCGCAGGGAACACGCCCACTTGGTGTCCGGTGGTGCGGGCAGGGAGGCGGGCGCGCGGACGCCCCGCGCCACGCCTCGCGCACAGGAAATCGTCAGGCGCCATCACGCACACTTGCGGTGAGAAATCTAGGGCTCTGGAGGCGCGGCGGAGCCCTGGGTGGGTAGCTGCCACAAGGGAGGCTCCCAAAAGACGGTTTGTGGGAGGCTGAGCGCACCATAATCCCCACCGGCCTTTTCGAAGTTGCCCCCACTCCACTCCCCCAAGCAGGTAGACAGTTTGCTTCGTAGGCATACTTGGCTTTAGCGCCAAAAATCAGCCTTAGCACCCACTTTCTAAGATGGTTTCTAAGCTCCTCCGGAGGGAAATTTTGGGGGTGTCTCTTCTGCCTCTGATTTTAGGAGTGAGCACTAGACACAGTGGGCTTCCCTAGCTAAAATGCTATTCCCTTCTTCGACAGCCTAGCAAACCTCAAGAGTCAATCAACTCCTCTGAGAAGTCCTCCTTGGCCTAATCTCTTGTCGCCCTAAGGACCCTGTGCCTATCTTTATGGGAGGATTCACTTTGACAAATCATTTCTGCCCTAATTCTTAAACACGTCCCAAACACAGGTTTTTGTCTTAATTCTGAGTCTTCTGAACACGGGAGAGATTAAAATATTCGAATAAATGACCAGTTTAGACGATGGACTAGCACAGTGCTTTTCAAAAATTAATGTACAGGGCGCGCCTGGGTTGGCTCAGTTGGTTAAGCGACTGCCTTCGGCTCAGGCACAGGTCATGATCCTGGAGTCCCGGGATCCAGTCCCGCATCGGGCTCCCTGCTCAGCGGGGGGTCTGCTTCTCCCTCTGACCCTCTTCCCTCTCGTGCTTTCTCTCAAATAAATAAAATCTTAAAAAAAAATTAATGTACATACAAAACATTTGGGGATCTTAATGAAAATACAGATTCGGATTCTGAGGCAGGGCCTAAGATTCTGTAGGTGATTTTCTGAATAGTGAGAGACTAGAAGACTCCATTTCTCTTAATGGGATTCTAAATTTAACATAGGCTTTAAAAAAAAAAAATAGGAGGGGAAAAAAAAAACCAGACACCAAGTTTGAAATCACAACTGAAATTATAAGGCCAAGAGGCTAATAACCAGAGTTTTCACAAATGTAAGAGATTCAATCAAGTCCATCACTGTTCCTCATTTCACTTTCTTATTTTGGCTGAGCCTGTAAAAGTGGCTCAGCCGACTAGGGACTGGTACTCTAGAGACTAAAGGAATATGAAAGGTACAGAGAAGTCTAGAAACCCATACAAGGTGTGAAATAGAAAGAACATCTAGATGAGAAAATAGTTTTTTGAGTATCTCAAAAATAGAAACAGCACAGGTCAATGACTTCAAGGACTTTACCAGTAAGACAAAGCATGTAGGATAAACAAAATGTCCTCTTAAGAAAACACAGTCTTGTACAGTCTCACTGAGAAAAATTTAAGATTTATTTTCAGGTTATCATTAACAGCAGTTTTAAAAGGCGGGGTAAAAGGGGGGGATAGGCATTTCTCTCTCGCACTACACTAAGTAGAGGCCAACAGTGCCTTTCTAGGCATCAGATCTTTAATAAAAATCTGTAAAATACATCCTAAAATATGGATTATTTTTAACTGCAGTGATAATTTTTGTTAGAATTATGAGAGCAAACATGCTACAGACAGTACTGAGGTAAGAATTATCAATTACCACAATCCTGCTAAAACAAAACAGGCAATATGGTTAAGATGTGAAGATAGGACTAGTCCTGAGTTCCAGTTAAGACTGTTGTAAGTAGAATTGAGGTAAGAATCCAGCTCAGTATATGCCCAATATGACCAGTTAAATTATATAAAACTCCTCTATACACTTCAGGGGTGCCTGTGTGTGGTGCAGTCGGTTAAGCATCTGACTCTTGGTTTCAGCTCAGGTTGTGATCTCAGGGTCATGAGATGGAGCCAAGTCTGGCTCCATGCTCAGCAAGGACTCTGCTTGAGTTTCTCTTTCCATCTTCTTCTGCCCCTCCTCCCCCAACTGCCCCACTCTCTAAAAAATAAATATTAAAAAAAAAAACCTGTATCCTTCAATTTCCTATAAAATCAAAATAATGCCAACTTTGTGACTTTTGTGAATATAAAAATCAGCAATTAATGTGAGATACAAAAGCACCCCCAAAATAGTGTGCCCCCTTTCACCTTAACTCAAACTTGAAAATGTAGGAATCGGAAGAACTACCAAAGTGGTGAAGACAGACTAATTCCCTTATATTACAGAGTCATAACTGGCTTAACAGCATAGTAACATCAACTGAACACTTATTGCAAATGCCAAGGACTATGCTAAGTGCTTTACCTTCACTATTTTAAAAGCCAAGCTGGTAAATCATACCCATTTTGCAGGTAACATAACTGAAGCTTAAGGTAGTATTGACCTCTTTAAGTTTATCCACAGCAGTGATCTGAGCACTGCTGAAATAAAACTCCAAAGCCCATGTTTAATACACTGCAGACTATTGTGCCTCAATAGCCAGACACATTTATCTTCTCCCACCAAATATCTTGCTGGCCGCCTTCCTTTTGACTAAACAGTTACATGTAATGAAGGTCTTCCTATTTAATTGACTGCCTGCCTAATATGTACTAATATAATACCCCACTAGGATTATCAATGCCTGTAACTTCCCTTTAAAACCTATTTCTCTTGTTCTTCAATAACCATTCAGTTTTTTATTTTCTGGTAGAAGAACAATGGTATTAAAATAGTCCAAGATGGGCAGTAACCTGCCAAATGGATTGCTCCATGGAAAGATAAACCCTGTGGCTACAATAATCAGGTAACAATTACACTTAATGTTTTAATCTTGGCTCTCGTTTGCTATGGAATCTTTCATTAAGTATTTAAAAGGTAGCTACAAAACAAAAAAATCAGATAACCACTTTTTGAGTAGCTTAAAATTATAGAGAAAGCAATGGTTTAGAAGCAAGGAAAAACTAAAACAAGGTTTAGTTACTGCCAATCCAATCCTAAAGATACCTTTTTTTTATAAAGCATGCCCTGGATACGCAGAACTGAAAATTCTCCCTCGCTTTATGAAAAAGGAAAAAGCATTATGAATAAAACATTAGCAAATAGAAGAAAAAACATAACGACACCCCCTGCCTTTGGATTGTTTGTAACAGAAATATTTCTAAAAATCATTGCCTGGCTAAAGTTAATATGGACAAATGGACATGCCAAAGTTGAAAAATATGTAAAAAAGACTGGAAACAATAAACACCTACATTATGTCACCTCCCATGCTAGCTAAGAACATTATAAAAGGTTTAATCTTTCACTTAAACCTTTTGAAGGAAGTATAATTTAAAAACTAAACACAATCTAGGTAGTAAAACAGTAACAAAAACTTATCTAAATTACACCAAGTAAAAACCACCCCCGTATTTGATTCTCAGAATTGAATTGTTCGACCTCAAGTTAATTAAAGGACTCAGATTCAGAGCAACAGTTGGGTAAATTGTAATTTTTTTATTGGAAAACAAATATACAACTTGGAATGGATTTGAGGCAAATTGTGCCATAAGCAGATTTTCTTTAAGTGGCTAAACAAAGTTTAAAAAGCAAGTAACAATAAAAGAAAATGTTTCTGGTATAGGACCAGCAGTACAAAAAAATAGTGTACGAGTACCTGGATAATACACCCGTTTTGCAATAGTGCAACTTTTAAGTACATATTGTTGACTGTCCATAGTCCACGCAGAGTTACAACTCCACACTTCAACAACAACATGCTGACAGTTCCTAAAGAAAACTACTTAAAAAAAAGGCATAACCCAGATGTTCCCTCATTTGACCAACTCCATCTAAGTTTGGATGTGCAGAAGGGCTTAGATATATCCAGAGTAAGCCACATGCAACATGTTACTTGATCAATTTTCTAAAATAAGGTTTCAGGACAATGACAGTAAGATAAGGGAAGAAAACATGGAGGAATGAAGTCCTAATTACTATACATGCATATTTTTTGACAGCAGGGGGGAACCTTTTACAGATAAGTTACAAACAAAGAAAAGGCAAATAAACAATTTTGTACAAGAAATTTAACACATTCTGTACAATGTCTTCACTTTGCTGTCATCATTTGTACAAACTCTGAAAAAGAAGAAGTACACAAAAAGTTGTGTCAATGGCAAAAGACTGACAAAACCAATCACATTACTCAATCTCTGAGCAGTCTCCAATTCCCTTTTCTTTCCTCAAAAATTCACAGTACAAAGGAATGCTAGTTTAGGCTAGAGTTGTCAAGTTTTGTCAAGGCTGGAACTTCATAAACCAAAATTATTGAGGATTATTAATCAATAAACCAAATTAATGCTTTAGACAAGCTATTATAAATAGAAGCATTTTTGCTCTTTAGTATAACATGGTAATTTTGCAGTCAAATGCTCTACCACTGAGCTATACCCCCTACATGATAATTTTGAATTGAAGCATAAGCAAACAGTTTCAGACTAAAGCTAATTAGAGGAATAATACATCCAATGAAGGAAGGAAAATCACCTTACTTTCACTCTGAGGATCCTGAAATAAGTTTAAAGCTTTTCAAATTGTTCCACAATCATTATAAAAAGACTGTTTTAGCACAGTCTCGAGTACAGTGCTTCTCAAACTTTAATGTGTATATGAAATTGTCCAGCAATCTTGTTAAAATGAAGAGATTCTACGTATATGGAAGGATCTGACAGTAAACAGTTCTAAAAAGTTCTCAGGTGATTGTGATTTTGCCTAGTCTGTAGAAAATACTCTGAATAGGAAAAGGTTTGTAAATATAAAAACTGTTTTAGCATCTTCATTTGGCGCGGGGAGGGGGGTGGGGGGGAGGAGTCACTAATTTTGACCTATGAGATATACAACAAATACCTATAACTTAAAATCAAAGCACAGAATGATGTACTGAAAGATTTACCTTCATAGTTTACTTGACCATCACCATCAATATCTGCTTCCCTGATCATTTCATCAACCTCTTCATCTGTTAACTTCTCTCCCAGGTTTGTCATCACATGGCGAAGCTCTGCTGCACTAATATAGCCATTACCATCCTAGAAAAAAATTTAGTAAGGTATCTAAGTAAAATTAGAGACTCAGAGTTGGAATGAAAGTTTAGTAAGTTTACACTAAACTTCACATTAGGGAGAAAAATATACTTTA